GATGATCAAAAGAAGTCTCACTTCATGAAGGCAAGATAAACTGCAGGTATACCTATAAAAGACGGTAATAACTTAAGGTCAGTTAAAAAAGAAAGGAATGGTCATAGTGGAGAGTTTTTTAGATAGGTATTTCTCAAAGCTAATTCCTTTGAACATAAATAATTTAAAATACATGGAGGCTTGGCATAGAGAGCAGAAATAACTTGTTGAATATTTATGGCACACAAATTTATGGCACACACATTTTAATAACATTGTGTCTACTAATATTTCTAAACCTATTTTTATCAGGGAACAGTTTTATATATGTACAATACTTATTATCATGACCTGTCGTACTGGCTTTGACAGAAGGTAAGGACTTAAAGGATTTACTAGTTGGGACAGACTGCTTCAGGTTCATTGAGCAACTAATTTGAGACACGATATTGGTCATGGAAAAACCTTCCTCACACATAGTTTTACAATTGTAAAGGGTGACCCAAGATTCCTCGAGGCTTTAACTTCATTAGCACTATGTAAAGATCTAAAGGAAGAGTGAGAAGTTTCCTGATTGGACTAGTGCTCAGATTTTTTCAGAGAAAACAGTTGCTCTGCTCTGAATCCCTTCCCAAATTCTGCAATAAGTTTGTAAGAAGGCTACTTTCTCATATGGGTGTAGAGAACACCTCAACAAAACCACTGGAAATCTCAAATAGATTCACATTTGGCAGACACAAGTCTGGGGTCTGGAATTGCATCTGAGAACATGGTAACAGTCTGCAGACACAGTTGTCTGACTCTCACCAAGGAAGGCTGGATGGAGGCTTCTCCTTGGTTTCATGGAGGAGGCAGGGAGCCTGAGAGATGGCCTAAGGGAAGGGTGCATGGATGCATTTGTGCTTCCTTGTGGACCAGATCTGAACCATACAGGAGGACCAGCATTACCTCCTGGGTTTTATCTGAAAGATCCTCATGGAAGAGTAAGAAACTCCTAGCAGACAAAGACTGGAGATGAACTGTGAGAATTTTCCAGTTCTCATCCAGGAAATGCAGGAAAACTTAACAGATTTCACTTAAAGAGTTCAAAGGATCTCAGGAGGGAAATGTTAGCACTAATCATCTGCAGACCCACACAGAGACACTAGCTTATCACATATACCAGACATATTAAAACTAACTCTTTCCTTCCCTTTCCTTCTGTTTTCTACCCTGGTGAGAAGAGCAACAACAGCTCCTCATGGGCTTATGACAGAGAAAGAAAAGAGGACATGGACAAAGCCTCCTTTGTTACTCCTGGCTTCTGCCCCCCAAATACATGAATGGGGTTGGGGAGGATTTAATTTGCCTAGAAAAAAAATCTCATTAAGTCAAATTAAAGGAAATATTGGAGAGAAAATTGCACTTTCTTTAGAATATGAAGTTGAGCTTTTTCATTAGACCTGTTATAGAAACTATACAATTTCCTGGTAATGTAGAACAGAACATTGGGGGAGGCAAAATAATAATTTAGTAAAAACTCAAAGTAGCCAAATCACAAAACAAGGTGCAAATCAATCATACATTCAACAGAGCCATCCTATAATACCAACCTTCTCACATTATAAACTCTCTAAATGAAAGGAAAAGAAAATGGAGCTGCCTGAAAATAGTAGAATACCAAACATGACAAGCCATGAAACCAGCAGCATAAATTATAATCAAATCAATGTTTGAGCTGTAATATATATGTATGTATGCACACATATAAATGTATATATAAAAAGTATATACATATATGTATCTCTTTATATATCTATGTATCTCTCTCTCTCTCTCTCTCTCTCTCTCTCTCTCTATATATATATATATATATATATATATATATATATATATATAATTTAAAAAGCAACTGAAATGGAAAAGGCAAAAATGTAAGAGAAACTAGAGTGAATTCTGGAGCAAAATTGACTGGATTGAATGTACTCTGAATGGCAAGTAAAAAATATTTGAAGGAAGAACATATAACATATATTAGCTAAAGTTTACTTCCTTTACATAAAAATATGTTATTATCAGGTTTATGAAAGTAAAAATATTGTCAACATGAATTTTAAAGTCTTTTGTGGCAGATTCCAATATACCTAAAGACAAATACAATGAGAATATTTAAACAATTCTTCAAAAGATTAAATGTAGAATTATTTTTAAAGCTCAGTAATTCTACTTTTAGATATACACCAAAAGCGAAACACATACTCAAATAAATACTTCCACAGAATTGTCAGTAGTGGCAATTCTCTATTCATAATAGAGAAAGTTCCAAATATTCCCAATGTCCATCAACTAATGAATGAATATACATGATTATTATATCCATACAATTGAGTATAAATCTTCCATAGAAAGGAATGAAACATGAATACATTTTACAAGGTGGACCATCCTTGAAAACACTAGAGAGGTCACATAGTGTAAGATTACATTTTTAAGACATTCAGAACCAGAAACATAGAGACAAAAAGCTGATCAGTGTTTGCCTATGGCTGGGGAGAGGAGGCCATGGGGACTGACTATTTAATGTGCTCCTCTTGGGGTGCTGAATATGAGGTGGAACTAGATAGACATGCAAGTTGTACCATACTGTGAATGGACCAAATGCCACCATGTTGTACACTTCAAACAGTTAATGATGAAATTTTTGCTTAAATTAAAAAATAATAATTTAGCAAAGACTCAAAGTGGCCAAATCACAGAAAGTTCAAATCAATCATATGTTAAGCAGAGTCATCCTATAAGATTAATCGAAAAATAGACATATAAGATCATAATAATACAATTTAAATATTAACAGAAAGTACTGAAGAACTTTGTTGTCTAGTATAATTCTGACTAGAAAATGAGTACAATATTCTATAGCTGAACTTATTGTGGGATATTTGGACACAAATATATTTACAAATATTTTCTTTGAACCAGCTGCTCCTGATTAAATTAGTCTGAATGTCAGGGGAAAAAAAAAAAAAAAAAACAGTGTTAACAAGTATCCTCCCTTTTACCAAACACAGGTAAGATCCATAATTTGATGACTTGAAATACAGCAAAGATCACAACATCCTTGTATATAAATGTCTACATTATTAAAGAATTAGGATTCCTAGGTTATATCTGATTTACATGAGCCTAAAATCATAAAAACAATGGCAACATATTTAATGTGCAAAACAGTGCTAAGCAACACAGTTCTGGAAAATTAAGATTTGTTTGTTTTTAAGAAAACAGGAAGCAATGATGCAAACAAACTAGATGGGAAAGGAGGACTTTAATTTAAAGCAACTAAAATGGAAAAGGCAAAGATGTAAGAGAAACATCAGATATATGATGTTGTAGCCTTACCTTAAATCACTATAAATTACCCCAAACTCATTTGAATATATTACCTTAGTTCAAATTCACCATTGTATAAAGTCTTGTCCCATCCTATGCTCTTTGTTCTATACAGTTTAACTGGAGTCTTTATTTAAAAATGAACCTAAAAACAATTTTGGTGGTTAATCTTTTCATTGCCTCAGTAATGAAGAACCAACTTCTTCACTGTAATAGATGGTGGCAGTGTAATTACATTCAGGGGAAATAAAATGTCTAGGTTTCCTTTCTCCTGTTGTGTGATTATAGTATCAAGCACTTCTGTAAATAAAACAGCAACTGAAATGCTGTCTTGAAAATTAAGCTATTATCATTCACTAAAAGTATTCTAGAGCAATTTTAGCCATCACTTTCAGAAATGACTTTTGGCAGCTCAAATGCCATATACACTATCATGTGCAATGGAGTCCCTGTGTTTTATGTTCTTCCTTCAAGTGTAAAATATTCTCATTTTCTTGTCAGAAAGTTACTAATATTTGGTTAAGGGTATTAGTAGTGTTCTACTAACCAATGTTTAGTCCCAGCCAAAGTAATTAAGCATATTAAAAATGCAGTGACTAAATCATTGCATAAAATTACTTTTTTTCTCCCTTTTGAGAAAAGTTTAGAGCAACAATCATTTTAATTAACGCGTTGTGCATAAGAATGCACAACAGCAGCTGTTTATATGCATTTTTAAAACTGAAGGGTGTGGTGAATTATCTAGCTAAAGGGCAACATATGTTCAAATGAGTGTATGAATTGTAACATTAATTATGGTTACAGCATGGAGAGAAATACAAAGGGGCATGCGCAATGACTGCCTGTCCCCATTTAGTCAGTTAGCATTTTTCTAACCTATACTACAGAAAGGTATATAGTATAATATTGTGTGTGTGTGTGTGTGTGTGTGTGTGTGTGTATATATATATATATATATATATATATATATATATAAAACTTTTCAAAAATTTTTATATTTTATAGTTGTACATAATATTGGGGTTTTTGTTGATATAACCATACATGCATGGAATATAATTAGCTCCCTTTCAATCCCCAGTGTTTTTCTCTTTCCTCCCCTCCTCCTTCCCCTTGTTCCTTTTCCTCTACTCCACTGGTCTTCCTTCTATTTATTTATTTAAAAAAAATTTTCATGGTACTTTATACATTCACATAATTCTGGAATTCACTGTGTTATATTCATTTGTACATATATACATAGCATAATTTGGTCAATTTCATTCTGTAGTTCCTCCCTTTACCTGTCCTGCCTCCTTCCCATTCTATTTCCTTCCTCTATTCCCTGGATATCCTTTCATATAAAATTTTTGAACTATGATAGAACACGAAGCATGATAAGACTGTATATCAGCTTCATGCATTTTGAAACATGTTTTTCTGTGGATTCAAAATAAGATTTTTAAAAATTTATTATTCAAGATAGAAACTAAAAATAAATGAAAGCTGTGGGATTGTCTTGAAGAATCCTCAAAATATCAAAACACTGTGCTTTCTTACTTTAACCATTTTAGCTCATTATATTTTTGATAGCCAGAAATAGATTTGTTAGTGTGAACACAATTAATTCAACTTACTAACTAGTTGATAAAGTTATAAGAGATAAAACAAAATACCTTCTCTTGATACTGCCTCCTTGAAGAATCCAAAGACTGGATTAATGCCGTGGCATGACCAACAAACATGGCGTAACAGGTGGCCCCTACAATCATGCTCAGCATGGTGATCCAGAGGTCTGACATGCTGACTGGGGCTTGGGCTCCATACCCAATGCATAGCATGTGGCTCATAGCTTTGAAGAGTGCATATGAATACTGTTTTCCCCAAGAATCATTCTGGAACATGCGGAAAAAAAAGGAAACAGAAGAAGCCATTAGAATAGTAAAAGGAAAAGTGAGTGGGACCTGTACACAGAGGCATTACACAAGAGCAAGTACAGGGGGAAATCTTTATAATCGAACATTCACAGAAACACTCTTCACTGCCAATCAAGTGACTTGATGTTTTTCAAATGTTGCTTAATACAATGAAACAGAATTAGTCCACTCTTAATACATGTACATCTAATGAGTTTTTACTTTACTGTTTTTAAAACTAAAATTCTTTGGGGGATAATGATTTAAGTATCTTATAACAATACCAAGAATGATGATGGACTTGAGAAAACCTGATCATTCTTTAGTAATGTACTTGGAAGTTGAAGAATGCAGCAGGTGGGCATGAAGCATATAGGCCCAATTGTAGGAATTTTCATCAAAACTATGCTTTTCATATTTTAAAAGTCTAAAGTGATATATGTGTGGTGTATTTAATCCTTTTATCTTTTTAAATAAAAAACAAACATTTTTGAAATGTAGTTCTTATAAATGGAAACTTCTTTGATGTTCAATCTCAAAGCAGTATATATAAGAATTCAAATGTTAGGTTGAAAATGAATGATCTTGTTGAATTTTTATGAAACAAAATAAAATTTAAAAGGTAAAAATCATCTTGGCAAACATTCTTGCAGAGGGGAAGCTGATTCCCAAGATTAGTTATTAGTTGTAATTTCTGATGTCTCAAAATTATCAAAGAATTTAACATTATCAAGAAAGATGGCAGCAACAACATTAATCAAAGTAGAGGGTCCTTCTGAGACTGAGGCCCTAGACAACTGGTCACACACCCAGAAGTCATCCCTGCCTTTGTCAAATTAACTCTTACATCACCATAAAAATTTAAAGTTATTTTTAAAATATTTTGAAAAATATAGATGTTGGGCTGGGGTTGTGGCCCAGTGGCAGAGCACTTGCCTAGCATGTATGAAGCACTGGTTTCAATTCTCAGCACTGCATATAAATAAATAAAATAAAGGTCCATTGACAACCAAAAAAAATTTTTTTAAAAAAAGAATATTTTGCCTCATTGTTTTGAATGAGTTTTTTTTTTTAAAAAATCAAAATTATGGATTTAAAAAAAATTAAATATAATAAGGTGTAAAAGTCCAAACTCATAAACTGTGGAACACGTGAGACTAGCAGCAAATAAATTGCCCCATTAGTTGAAAGAGTTAAGGTTCTTAAAGTGACATTCATGGTGACTTTCTTACAAAATAAAGTCAAGCTGTTATATTAAATTAACCCCACATACATACAAAAAAAACATACACATAAAAGTATACAAAAATATTTTTAAGGCTAGAAATATATCTGTTATAAGATACTATATAGATAGAATAATGAACCCATGCAGAGATTTTTATTTGGGAGAATGAATCCTAAAACTTTTTCATACATGAAAATACACAAGTATTCTCAAGAAAATACACAAGGTTCCCAAAATTTGAAATGCTCCATGAACAAGAAATGGAGTATTCAACAAAGAAATGTATTCTACAAAAATCTCGAGTGTTCCTGTTATTTTAAATGACAGATTTAAATTCATGAAATTCAACTCAAACCAATATTCTAAAATTGAATTCATTACAAACCATATTACTAAATGAACAAAGGAATTACACCCTATAACAAAATATAAATGAAACTTGATTCACTTCTTAGTGACTAAAAACTCTTTTGTGCTCCCACAGAGCTCAAGCCTTCACCTGTAAACAGCAACTGCCATCCTCTACATGATGACCTTCTGTGCCTGCACCTACTCATAGATCAGGGCAAGGACCACATCTCACTGATCTCATTACATAATCCGGTGGAAGCATTCAACACTTTTATTGTTGCTGAGTGAAAGGGAGAATAAATAGATTTTGACAATGATGTTAAATCTAATGTAAGGTGACTTATTTCACACAAGGGGATAAAGGAGCCATATTGCTAGGGCATCTTGATATCTTAGATATGATACACAGATAAAATCGACATAGTTTAAAAGCCTAATGGGGGTCCAGTGGAAATGGAGCTTTAATTGCATTTTTATTATTTATTCCTTGATTTTCAGAAGAGGAAGGGTGCGGAGGGATGTCAGAAAAATTTAAGTAAATTTCCCAAAGTAATAATGGTTTATAGTAGCTAGAAACTTTCACATAAGCAATTACAATTTTTTAAACTTTTCTCCTTAGGTGTGAATATGCATATACAAGTGCATAACTCAAGTGGGTCTAGTATAGTACATGGGCAATTTTTTCATTATGTTTTAACCTTATCTTCTGCTTTCATTCCACCTACAATTGCCCAAAAATAAGACATGGATTTATCTGTAACATTCACAATGCTCATTTAATCAAACACACACAGTCACACACACACATATACATGCACATACGTAGACACATTTAAACACATACTGGTTTATTCTACAAAAATGGATAGTATTTTTTTGAATGAATCCTAAATATGTGAAAATATACAAGTGTTCTCAAGAAAATAAGCAAGCGTCCCAAAATTTGAAATGCTCCATGAACAAGAAATGGAGTATTCAATGAAGAAAGGAATATATTCTACAAAATCTTATAATATATAATATGATCATAACTATATATTAGAAATTGGGGGAAATAATATTTGCATATTGCTTTTATTACAAAAATTCCTTCAAATTAATCTGCTAGTCATACATGTGTGAATAGTTTGCTTCTGATCATACCATAACTAACTTTCCAATGATGTCCAGTTTTGCTATGTTAAACTATAGTGAAAAGTATCCATATATTCAGTTTTATTTTAAAAATCAGATTTTTGAGAAATGTGTTTGTTGGTTTAAAGAGAAAAGTTTTCCATTTAATTTTATAATATATTTGCCAAACTGATTAGAAAGGCTAAAACTTTTCTAAAATCTGTTTGTGAAAATAAACTGTAAACCCTCCTACAGTAAAAACTAGTCATTCTTTGTTATTTTATTTTCAGTTCCCTGACTAGATAATCTGTAAAGTTATTCATATAATTTCTAGCTAGATTTTCTCATCTATAATGAAATTCTTATTTTTCTTCATTGAATTATAGCTCTTTGAAGATCTAATATCAACCCTTTAGATCACAAGTGACATAAATGCTTATTCTTAATTTATCATTTGCCTGCTAAATCTTTTGCTATCATTTACAAAGCAGACATTTTGATTACTTAATGTTGGAAAAGTAAGTCTGTAATTTCCTCAAGCACTGCTGGGTTTCTATACTGGTTAAAATGATCTCCCTAATCTTAGATCATTCATGTGCCTTAATTTTTGAGATTGTTTATTTCTACATTTATTTTTTCTTATATATGGAAAAATAACATATTTTCTTTCATTATAAAAGGATTATACCTTGTGCTGATGCACAACCTTTAATGAACTTCTCATTATCATAGACATAAAAAGTATCTCCTTATAGAAGACAATATAGGCAAAATATTTCAACACACAGATATGGGCAAGGATTTTTTGGATAAGACCTCAAGAGTATATACAAACAAAAACAAAAATTTTTAAATGAGATTACATCAAACTGAAAATCATCTGCACAGCAAAAGAAAAAATAGAGAAAGGGAGAAAAAGAGAAATATTTGCAAAGTATGTATCTAACAAATGGTTGATATCCAAAACACATAAGGAAGACTACATACTTGATAGCATAAATAAATAAATATCCATGTTAAAAACTGGGCAAAAAAAATTAAATACACATTTCTCAAAAAAAGACATAAAAGTGGTTGGCAGGAGCCTGAATAAATGCTCAATATAATTTACCATCAGGGAAATGTAAATAAAAATCACAATAAGATATCACTTTTCTTCATTAAGAATGGCTATTATCAAAAAGACTGAAAGATTGTAATTTTTAATTCTGGAAAAAATGTGAACAGAAGAAAACACTTGCACACTATGAATGGGAATGTAAATTAGTAAATTCATTATGAGAAATAGCAAGTTTCCTCGAAATATTAAAATAGAACTGACATATGATCTATCAATCTCACTACTGACTGTGTATCTAAAGGAAATGAAATAAGTATGTCTGAGAGTCATCTGTATTCCTGTGTTCATTATTCACAGTAGCCAAGAAATGAAAAGAACCCAAGTGTCCTTAACTAATGAATGGATAAAGAAAATGTTGAACCTATATATAACTGGATACTATTCATCCATAAAAAAAGTCTGAGTCCTCTCGTTTGTGACAATTGTTGGAACTGGAGACTAGTATGTTAAGTGAAATAAGCCAGACACAGAAAGTCAAGTACAGCATGATCTCACTCCTATGTGGAACCTGAAAAACGTTGATCTCATAGAAGTTGAATGTGAGACTGGGGAGATTGGGGAGGTGGCAGAGTACTAAGTTAGAGTTACATGGGAGTAAGAGGTCCTGGTGATCCATGGCACAGTAGGGTGACCATAGATAATAATAATGTACTCTATAATTCAAAGAGAAGATTTTGAAATCTTTCACCACAAATGATAAAGTATTGAGGAATAAATATTTTAACCCAATTTAAACCTTGCACAAAATATACATGTGTCAAAACATGAAATGGTGCCAGCCTTTATATATATAATTATTACGATTTTATGTAACAGTTAAAAAGTAAATTTAAAAATCCTTTATTCTCTAGTGTCTCTGTATACATTGGTACTTATTTCTGAATTAAATATGTATGCTTCATTGATCTATTTGACCATGTCTGTGCTAATAACATTTGCTTTTAATTAGTGACATTATCATTTATTTTAAAATAATATAAAACAAGGAGCCCTTTTCAATTCTAACCCCCTCCAATTCTTCACATAGTGCAATGAAACTTCAACAAGACCCTATAGTAAAGCAGGTAAAAGTCAAATACAATCTGCTGGATATGGTTCAACTTCCAGTGTCTTAAAACTAAAGAAAAGAAAAATATGCAATAATTTAATGTGTTATATATATGTATA